AATTTCTCCCATTCCCTGCTTTTGCAAAAGTGAGACTCATCTCATGCAAAACATTTACACTGCAGAGCTCACTTCTTTGTCTCTGTAGTGCAGAGAGCTCTCAGCAGGGGAAGGGTCACCCACACACCTCTGTGGCTGCCTCTTGACTTTCACATTTGGCACTTCAACAAACGTAAGATAAGTCCTCCTGCTGAGGTGCCCAGCACTGTGTGACTATAGGTAACTCTTGCTGGGTTTGTGACATTTGTCATGGCGTGCTGCATGTGCAGAAGTGCAAGTGTCATTAAAGATATACTGATGAGGTGGGAAACCCTTAGGGCATCTAAAATGGCATGAGACACCTGTGATTTGACAGAGTCTTATCCTTAGAAAACTAACCCTAGTGAAGTGAATCACCCCCCATCCCATATGGCTGGAGCAGTTCCTTTGTGCTTATCAGAAATGCATCTCTGTATGCAACTTCAGCCATCACTGAAAAGTGGTGGTCTTTTAAAAAAAAGAATGCACTGGATGTTTTAAGAATATCCCTCAGGATATTTGACTGCTGTAGAATTATAGCAGAAGAATTGTCCTTATTTCCAGCATAGGTAATTTCAGTAACAACAGTATCAGTGCACCAGTTTTGCTTCTCTTGCTCTTATATGCACTTTTGATTTCTGCCTGATGTTTCTGAAATCGACTGCCCATCCAGTTGCACCCTGGGAACTGTAAGCATCTGTGATGCCAGCGCCTGCGGGTGGACACCTCTTCACATCTGTTGTCCCCATAGTATCATCAGATCCATGTTTTTAGGGTTGGGAAGCCCGTTCAGGTGACCTCACTCTATGAGTTTCAAAAGTCTTGGAGTAACAAAGCATCCTGTTCTTGTAGTAGAGCCCAGAGCTTTTAAGAGAGAAGTCACTGTAACACATGCAACTTTGCAAATCACCAGAGTGCCATCTCTGCTGCTGCTGAGCAAGCTGCTACATGGGGTCTCTTCCAACTGTGCTTGTGATTGAGAGATTTGTCTTTCTTTTACTTTCACTGAGTCCAAAAGTCTCAATTTAACAAAAGGAAGGAAATTCTAGCTCTGACTAACAAAATGAGGAAAGTAATTTTAGCATCTAGATGCCTGCAATACTCAGTAAAGTCTCTTACATCTTTATAACTTGAAACCCCTAAAGCTACTCTCATCTCAGAGAAGTAAAGACATCTGGTTAATCTCAGTCTCAGGACTTTAGTCTTGCCATAAGGGACAAAGATTATTGTGAGAACCCTCCCTTGCCCTGACAGTCAGACAGCGGCTGTTTGTCACAGCTGGTGCTGGTCAGGCAGACAGGGCCATCCCTTCTCACATTGCCTTCTTTTCCACTGAAGAACATAGGAAACATTTTTATGTTCTATATATGCTATTGCCTTTCTGTAATCATGTATTTTTGAGTCAGTTTTTTCTCTTCTCTTCCTGGAAATTTATTGGTGTTGTTTTGTATTTAGATTTGTATTTCAGCTTCTGCTAGCTTCCAGTGTTTCTGGTTCAGAACTGAAAATCATAGAATCACTAAGGTTGGAAAAGACCTAAAAGATCACCCAGTCCAACCGTTCACCTATTCCCAATAGCTCCTACTAAACCATGTCCCTCAACGCAACATCCAGTCTTTCCTTGAACACCCCCAGGGTCGGTGATTCCACCACCTCCCTGGGCAGTCCATTCCAGTGCCTGACCACCCTTTCTGAAAAGTAATACTTCCTCATGTCCAGCCTGAATCTCCCCTGCCGTAGCTTGAAACCATTCCCCCTGGTCCTATCACTAATGACACGAGAGAAGAGGCCGACCCCCAGCTCACTACAACCTCCCTTCAGGAAGTTATAGAGAGCAATAAGGTCTCCCCTGAGCCTCCTCTTCTCCAGGCTGAACATTCCCAGCTCCTTCAGCCTCTCCTCATATGGCCTGTGTTCCAGACCCCTCACCAGCTTTGTTGCCCTCCTTTGAACAAGTTCCAGGGCCTCAATATCTTTCTTGCAGTGAGGGGCCCAAAACTGGACACAGTACTCAAGGTGCGGCCTCACGAGCGCTGAATATAGGCGAACAATCACCTCTCTGCTCCTGCTTGCAACACTGTTTCTGATGCAAGCCAGGATGCCATTGGCCTTCTTGGCCACCTGGGCACACTGTCGGCTCATGTTCAGCCGAGCATCAATTAATACCCCCAGGAAAATACTATCTTTCGTATCACTATGAAAGAGCCAAGGGCTCTGGCTTCCACTTCAGGGAGCAAACGATTTCACTGTTGTGAGTGGCTCAGAATAGCCAGTAAACAGTAAGTAAAATATGGCATAGAATTAGAAATAGAAAAAAATCTGGCAAATAACTTGTATTAGGTAGGAAGTGTGCCTCCAGTATTTATGCAGTTGTCATGTGTCTACATCAAGATTAACATAAGTGGAAATACTTTCCATGAGAAGTGTCAAATGGCTGGTTCTGTGGTTGTTTGTGCTCTCTGTTCAGTATGTTTCTGATCAAGAATTCATGTGAGATGAATAGTAGTTTTGCAACTTGGTATTTTCTGATGCTGTGCAACTAACTTATTTCCAGTGGCAGTATTGTAGTGAAATATCTTTGCTGTTTTCTAAATGAAGGTTTCTACTGAAGAAAAACCAGTTTTAGGAGGCTGTCAGAGTCCCATTAAGCCCTAATTGAACAGTATTCCAATAGAGCATGTACTTCATGAAAGTAGTTATGTGAATGTACAATCAGTTATTAGTAAGATCATGTTTTCAGTTGAATTTTTTCTGTATAATGCTTTTGTTCTCAAAGAGTATACAATACTTAATTTTAAAAGATTTAATAGTATTGCCTTCTTTATTTGAACAAGGCTGCATGGCAGTATATTTTAGTTGTTTGTATGCTCATATGTTCTAGGGAAACTGAGCTAGAACAAATTATTGTGAAGTGAGTGCATAAATAATTTGGAAACCATATGCAGAAAGTAGTTGGCAATGATGTACCATTAAGTGCTGTTCTGCAAACATTTTAATTTGTTTTGGTGCTACTCAGTATTCTTACAGATAATGTGAATGAAAGGCCAGAAAGTAGGTTTAATAAATTTATAGACTAGATCAAGTGTGCTAAAGCAAGACTTAGAGTGGACAATGATCTTGATAAAGTGTTGAAGTAGCCCGGAAAATACCACGTTTCCAGCAGTTGAATTGCAGACTAGAAAAGCATGCATATAGGTAGGCATTATCAGCTGCAACATATACCAATGGGAAATGAGTGGCCAGGCAGCAGTGCTGCAGGTGACTGTTATAATGATCCTGTGCTGAACATATGCCAGTGATATTGTGCTACTGCGACCAAGGCCAACGATATTGTGGGCACATGGATGGGAATAAATAAAGCATATAACAGAATTGTTTAAATGAGTACTGATAAGGCCTCAATGCTTTACCAAGCTGTGGGGACTGCTGCTCAAGTACGATTCAATTTATTCAGAGAGCATTAAAGAGGCCAATGAGCCAAGCCAAAGATCTGAAACACATGGGTCTTCAGGGGAAGGCTGAAGGATTGTTTAGTCTAGAAACAGGAAGATGGAAGGAAGATGTGATAGCAGCCTTTGTATAGAAATAGTTGACTCTGAAGAGGAAGGGATGTAACTGATGGCAGTTGAGTGCTGTTGGTATTGAAAAAGAATAATAGACTTAAATCATAGCAAGGATGATTTAATGTAAGCATCAGGAAAAAATATTAAGTGGCAAGGGAAGGAGGAGCCCTGGAATAGTTTGCTTAGTGGGAATTTGTAGAATCTTCAGCCTCGCACAAGTTTAAAAATAGGTCAAACATCAGCAGACGTGGCAGGGGTCAGGGATGGATGAAGTGATCAATCAAATTACCTGTAGCCTTGCTCCTTTAGTGATTTCTGTGTATGTGAAAATGATGAGAGTAATTACTATACATAGAAAAAGTACTTTGGATGTCTCCACAGAATTTCAGAATATGCAAAAATAATAATAACAATTTAGGAATTTACTGCATGCCTTCAGTATTTACATTAGATTGGAGCAATTAAACTTTTTCTAATTTTGCCCATGTCAGTAATGATTGAAATTAACTACTGTCTTTGGAAGTAAGCTGATAAATGCAGCCAGATCCCTGTAGTGGCATACAAAACTGAATTGTAACTATGTGAAAGGTCAGCCTTTAGTCTCATTGTAGCAAATGGAAAAAAGAATAGATATTACCTAAAGAGTTGAAGAATCGCCCTCCCAGGATACCTCTCTCTCTCTCTCTTTGATACCTATCCTGTAGCAACTATATATTACAGAGGTATGCCTGGTCTTTCTTTTTCTCAGTCTGTGATATTAAAGGTTTGGTTTTTAGAAAGCCAAGGTGCATGGATTGCATATAGGACTGGATATCTGGACAAAAAAAATGATTGACGGGAAATCAGTAGAAAATCCAGTTGTCTTTCCTGAGCCACAATTCTGGGAAGCCCATTGAATGCATCATTCATGAAACACTCAAACAAATAATAGTTGCTATCAATGCATAATAGTCATGAGCAATATGTGTCAGAGATAGTTGCATACTAGGCTTAGGTAAGTCACTTATTAATCTATAGGATTCCTACTCGTTGAGTCTTTAATAATCCTCTCAGTTATTTACACTGTATCAGTGTGCATAAACACAATACAGCACTTTTGGTGAGGAAACCTGCTACATAATATCCCAATGAAGATTTTAAAATACTAAGCTCCTGGACAATGAAAGGTAAAATTAATAATGCTTTTAAAATAGCGGTGTGCTTAATCCTGGCTAATAGTTTAGGAACCACCCAGCAGGCACCTTTCTCCCTCAGGCGCATCCCATAGGTAACAGAGATGGTAAGCCTCATCAGAAAACTGTTGTTTATGAAAATTTGCTATTGCCTAGTAAAAACCAGTCTCATTTACAGGACTTTTTAGAAGTTGGAATTACACCCCAGCACCCAGTGATGACTAGTTATTGTTCCTTTTGTCAACAGGCAAGATGAAGGAAGTTCTGGCAGCTTACCATGCCCCTGGCTCTGCAGAGTTAAGCGAGACGTGCGCCCATGTTCTAGCATGCATCACATCACCTCTCGGGTCTGAAGTGCCAGCAGGATCCCAGCGCTGCAGACTGAGACGGCTCTGAGCACCTCAGTACCCCGTTTCTGACAGAACCCAGGGATGGCAGACTTACATACCAGTATTACCTGTCTGACGCAGGTTTAATTTTATAAATTAAAACCATAAACTCTATGAGTTTCTAGACCATATTTGTGCTGTTGAGGATGATCTACTCAGATGAACAGTTTTGCATCCATCGGAGAGAGAGGTTCTTCTGCTGGACCAGAAGACAACATTATTGTAACTAATACCATTTGTAGCATCTCCTAGTGCAAATAACTGAAGATCAGGTAGCAAGAAAATCCTCTAGGGAATAAGACATGCTTGGTTTTGGTCTACAGATTTTAAGAAATGTTGTTTTTGTTTTTGTTTTTTTTTAAAGGTAACCACTTTTACATGACACTACGTGTGCAGTCTATGTGCAGCTCTTCACTGTGGCTATCTATATTCCAGAGATTTTTAATTGCTTGTCAGACACTTGAACCTTTTTTAGATTTGTGATGAATCCTTAAATTATGAAAGCATCATGGAAAATTAGAAAGGAAAAGTTTCAAGGCTTTTGTTTGACTAAATATTTCCACTTATTCCCTGTTAGTGTCTTCGATGGTGGAAGAAAGGGTGGGAAGTAGGAAAAAATACAAAAGAACAACACATTGTGGGCTTGGTGTTTTGGCATATCAGAATGTTTGATCAAATTACTAAGGAGAAACAGCTAACTTACCTGAGGCCTCACATGAAAGGTTAGTATTTTGGGGCAGTATTTGCTGATTTTTTTTCTCCAAAATAGCTATAGAAAAGAAGGATTATATATATGCCCCAACATATGGTGAAAAGGACATACTTGCCATTCCTCTATTTATTTTTGCTCTTTCATAAATCAAAGTGCCAGTTATTTGGAATGCTGTAGTCTGTGGTCTCTTTAAATTTCTTTAGTGAGATCCTTTCAGCAAGATCATTCCCATTATGGTGTAACTGCATGGTGACCACAGCTTTGGGCCTGTATAATAAAGATCTGAATTCAAATTTTTGTTTCTGATCCTTTTCTCTACTTTTATATCATATCTGCAAAGTGATTGGAATCATACATACTGCTGACCACTGTTTAGAAGATCTGGCAAAAAAGATTTAGAGATGAAAGTGTTTGTGTGGTAGGACCCTGATTCTCCTTTGTATTGGTATTTACACCAGGTTTAAAGGCAGAGGGATACAAAATGTTAGCAAATCAATAGCGATGCTTAAATTCGATTTGCACACAAGGCCCCAGGGAGATGAGGAGATCAGCCTCTTCACATCCTGGATTTATGGCTGAGTATTTGATATATGGTGTCTATTAATTAGTTAGCCTGTAAAGTTAGAGGAGAAAAAAGCTGCAGAAATGCTGAGTCTAAGGTGGCTTTGATTTGCTTGGTGTGTGATATATTGTGCAGAACATATGCACATCTGAGTGTGTAAGCTAATTAGATCCTCTTTCTTTCCTCGTCCTTATTTTCTTCTTTGAAGACCAAAATCTAAACTATAAAAATGTTCTTCACATAGCAGATAAGTTTGCATAAGCAAAGGCTGTGCACTGCATTTTGAAAGTCAACATTGTCCTCTCAGTGGATAATGGAGGACATTATCCTCAATGGAGGATAAGGTGACCTCTCCATGCTGCATATTTGTGTGAGGTTTTGTCCTGCTGAAGGTGTGCAATTCAGACCAGTGCATGTGAGTGGGGTCAAACAGCAGCTGCTCCTGGTCAGTGCGAGCTGATCCATGATTGTGATCCTGCCTGAAAGAGGCAGTTCTGTCCCACCGTCCTACCCATTGTACCTTCCCACCACCTCCCTCCTGGTGGCACAGACATCTGTGCATAGATGAGGTGTAGCAACACCAGAGCTGTGCTAGCAGACCTTTAGGTATTAATCAGGTATATGCTAAGTATGTGGACGTCTGGGCCCACTGACTGTAGGTGCTTGAGTATGTCCATGACACCATTTGAATTTGAATGTCAAAACTAACTCCCTCAGGAGAAGGGAATATCAGAGAAGTGTCCTTTTGTCTATGCCATGCCAGGGAGCTGCTGGAAGCCTGGCCACTCCATTGGTGAACTCTTCCAATGAGACATATGACTGCTGTCCATCTGTTGAAGGAGTGATTTTTAAAAAAGAAACAAAGCAAAGCAAACCAGGCAAGCCTCCTTGCACTCTGGTAAGGGCAGAGGTTGGGCTTTTTATTCTTGGAATGAATCCCCTTTTCAGAAGCTTTCCCCCAGCATCTGGACAGCCCTTCTTTGTTAAAAGGACATGAATATGGAGGGATGTTCAGTGCATTAATCTCTTCAGTCAGCTTCAAAGGGAAGTTTCTAAAGTCATTGTTTTCTGTCAATTTAAACTTTTGAATAATGGTGGTTGTGGCTTTACAAACAATATTGGCTGACTTTAGTGGCTTGGATCAATTCAATATTTGCACAGTAGAACAAGTACTTCATGTGAACCGTGTGGCTTAGCAGACAAGTGTTTGTTTCTCTGACTGTGTTTAATGTGTGAATATACAGCTCTCATTTAAATAGGGTGGTCCTAAGTCATTTTCTCAGCAAACTATAATCCATTCCAAGAATAAGAAAAGCTGTTCAGAGCTCAGAGCTGAAAGAAATAGTAGGTGTCCAGAGTTTTGGGGGTATTAAGCATCTTAAAAACATCTTCTAAAAAAAAAAAAAGGTTGGCTCTTCAGGTACAGCAGGGATTTTGATGACAAAGTATGACCTAAGTGTCCTTGCACAGGGCACCAAATCTTACACACAACTGCAGTTCTTTTTATTGTAATTTTTAATTCCTCTCTCATGTTCTTCATCTAGAAATCGCCAAATAATTTTCAAATACTAAATAGCACAGTCTCTCAAATATTCTAGGTAGCATGCATTTATTATTTTAATTTTTATTCTAATGAGCCAAGTCATTGCAGAGCCAGGTAATTTTGCTGATATTTCACAAGAATTTATTGCACTGTGCCACTTAAAATCAAACAAAAACAAGGATTACCTTGTTTAAAAAAATAAAAAAGCTAATCTCTTAAGAAGTCTGTAGTATCATCTTTCTCACCACTCAGAGTGGTGTTTCCTTTTACATAAGGAGAGCCCCTTTCACTTCACCTTATCTTCTCCAAGAGCTCTGCACCACATCCCCTCTCCAACTTGCAAGAAATGGGCTGTGTAACTACACAGGATAGTCTTTGCTTCTTCCCAGGAGCAGCTGTGAACAGCCATCTTCATACTTTGTGGTGGATCTGTTCTTGGCCAATTTCAAAGCTATCTTCTTTCAGGCTTGGCTGGAACCTACCCTTCCTAACAATAAGTAATGCTCTTGGAGCATGTCTGTTTCTCAAGTAGTCTTTGCTGATGAAGTCAGAAGGAGAGAGTATGCTGCTGGCTACATTATAAAGAAAGAGGATTTCTGTTATGTGTCACTGAATTCTATACAGGACCCTCCATAGGTGACCAGTGTTCAGCTGCTCCAAGTACCAGATGCAAGTTGTAGAGTTATTGAAATACTCTCTGTTGTGAGTGTATTTCAAATATGTGATTACTGTTTTCTCATACACTGGTGGAGAGTTGGAAGTTGAACAAATGAATACTTATAAAGGTTTACAGTCAACCCAGATGGGAAAATATGCTCTGTATGAAGAATTTGCACACAATTACTTAGGTAAAAGAGGAAAGATAGGTGCTGTCTTAAAAAACAAGGTCAAAAGTGGTCTGGCTGATCTGTGTTCTGTGGAGTATCAAAAAGACCTCAAACCTGATGATCTGTTCTAATCCCAGAACGTCTTTTATAGTTTATCACCCTAAATTTTACTCCAGTATTCACTAACTACATATGCACAAGATTGTTCACACTCAGTCTGTGGGGGAAGCTGAAAGCGTGGGGCTCCAAATGCCAATCTGCATCAGAAAAGAATTTTTGCTGTGCTTGTGACAATCAGCTAAACAATTATGTTTTCCTTAAAACCCAACATATATCTGAGCAAAGTAAAACAAACTCTTATTTAATCTTAAAGCTTCCAATTAAACCACAGTACCACATATTAAATATCTGAATCTGCATCACCTACAGCCTTCAGTAAAATCCTGGAAGGAAGCCAAAACCAAAAAAACCCTGATTTTTCATAGCCTGTTTATGCATGTGCGTACAAAATGCTTTGTTCATAAAAGCATCGCCTTTCACTGTTCATAAAAGCATGTGAGATCCAGATCAGATTTTAATCAGCCGTCTTGTCTGCCTATAAGGTGCACAAAGGACCATTTCTCAGCTATTCAGCAATGCTGTTAGCAAAGGATAGCACTGCTTACAGAAGAGCAAAAGTAGAAGTTGCAATGCAGTTCCAACAGGAACAGCATGGAATTGCTTAGTACTTTGACAGTCTTGTAAGATGATGATGTTCATTCCTACTCCAGCTGCATTTCCTTCATAGTTTTACAATTGACTTCTGCTGGAAATAGTAGAGCAATGATGGATCATTAACAGCAATCCATCCCATCTCTGCTCCTTGCCAGAAGGCTAGATTTCCCAAACAGATTACAAAGTGTACAGTCAGCAATGAGACTCTTTTGTGCTGTCATTGTTGTTTTCTGTGTTTGTTTTTAAGGTCTTAGAACATGTGGATAGTGAAGTTATCTCCTTATTAATAGGCATAAATGAGAAGCATGGGAAAACACCAGTGTACATTAGATGATGAATTAAAGCATCCAGTGCTGTGGCAGAGGCAAGCAGTAGATTTGTTCTGTAATGGATTGCCTTCCAGATCCTGGGACCTGCTTGCTTAGAAATACCTTATTAGATGTTCCCGTAAGAGTATACAGTACTTACTGTTATGTAGAATATAATGGTGCTAAGAATTACAGAATGAAACGCTGAGCCTCTTGAATTCTATGTCAAAACCTGCACTAACTTCTTTGGGACCAAGATTTGGTTCAGGATGGCAAATATATATCAGTGCACAGCAGAGAAACAAACTACAGCAGAAAGTCATGGTTCATTACCACATGTAGAAGCTTTGTCTATATCGTGATGACATCCCTGGGTAACTGAACTTACCGTGAGTTAGTGCAGACACAGGAAGACAAAGGAGAGGAGGTTGTTTTTCAGGATGTAGCCCAGCCCTCTGTTATCAGAAATATACGTATCTTGACAGTCTGTTCAAAAACGTACCAGGTTCTTTACGCAGTTAAATCAATTGCAGTCTGCTTGTCATGAATATTCAAGGCTAACAACAACCAAATCCTACAGAAACAAATAGCAAGTACAGAAAGAGAGAATGGGACAATGCATCTTCCTGAAATAATTGTATTTCCAAAACCCATTATGTTTCTGCTTGTACACATGAAAAGTAAAACCATGCTCTGAGTCATGGCCAGTGCAGCAAAGTTGATGTCAGTGACCAGTTTTCCTTCATTTAAAAGATAATAAAGTGTTGCTAGTCCTGGAAATGTTGATCACTGTTTCATGGCAAAGCTGTCTTTGTCCTTTCAGGGCAGTTGCCTGCAGCAGTGCGAGTGTGTGGCCGCCTCTTGATCTCCTGGTGTTCACTCTTGGCAAAATAGCATAGTATTCCAGAGTAAATCAGGGATGAACATTCCAGGTCCATGCTCCAGTAGCACAGCACAGCAAGGCAATCTCACAAAGACAGCTACCTATGTGCAGCAGGTAGATCTATTTTCAAGTATTACACACCTTTCTCTATGGGCAGCTTTGTTTCCTTGTGGGTGAGGCATGCCTCTTGCACGCCTTATGAGCAGCACCCTACTATGCTCTTTTGCTTTGCATTAGCCAGGCCTTCCCTGGGCAGCACACTGTCGATCTGGGAGGACCTTCCTGCCTGTTTGCTGCAGCCCCTGGCAGATCTCCTACCCCCGCATTGGCTTGCCAAGAGTTGAGGGGCTGATGCAGAACAGAACTGGGCTGCTGCCACTGCAGGCTTCACATGGGAGGGATCTTTGGCAGCGTTCCTGGCTCTCCGTATGAAGGCAGTGGAAGCCAATGACTGCAGCTAA